GTTCAAGTCCAATTCAAGTCCCAGGTCATTGGTGTAAAAGTCCAAGTCAAGTCACAAGTCTTAGAACATTTTTTCAAGTCAAGTCTAAAGTCATAAAATTAATGACTTGAGTCTGACTCGAGTCCAAGTCATGTGACTCGAGTCCACACCTCTGTGTAACTCCTTCTGACCTTTTCTATACTTCTCTATCAGCACTTTCAAAGTAAACAATCTTTCTTGGCATGAAGCCGTGTTGCTGTTCACTGATAGACACTTCTCTTTTTAACCTAGCTTCACTCTTTCCCACAGCTTGATGGTTTGGCTCATCACCTTTATACCTCTATAGTTTCTGCACCCTTGTCACCGAAAATTAACCAACGATTTGCAAGTCTTGTTTGTCAGTCAAAATAAGGAAAGATGTGTAAATGAGTGTTTTCAAAATATTGCTATAAAGTAGATATATATATATATTATAAAGAGAATAAATACATGGTTTAATGCTTCCCCTGCCTGCAGGTTGAGAAGAGTTATTGTTACAAACTTGTCAATAATGGTGCTTAAATGCTCTTCTGTGAAGATCAACTCACACCATTGATCTGTACTACATGGCTATTGTATTATTATAACATTATGTTATAGTGTGTCAAGAATTCTAATTCATGTCCACTTACTGCAGGTCGGGCCTTGTGTCCAGCTTCCTTGTGTACAAACAGATTTTTTGTTGTGTGCTCCCTCTGCAGTGTATCCATCCTCACACTCATACTGCACTTCTGAACCTGCAGCAAACACTTCCTGGTAGTCCTGATGAACGATGACTGCATGGGGGATTTTAGGAGGCACGCTGCACGCATTCATACTTTCTGTAAAATTAGTTTAGGACTTTATTAATCCCAGAGCAGGGCAATTTGTTTGTAGCTTATTCACAAGATCAGACCCACAAAACCTACAGTCCTTAAATACTAATCATAAAAAGTTTTGCGTGTTGAGTCATGGATCAAAAAACTGTGAGGACCTGAAAACAAAAACTACATAAAATGTCCTTATTAACAGCATTGGTCTCGAATTTGTTCTGTGTTGACCAGTATTAATTTGGTTGACCAATAGTTTTCATCATAGTGTGCAGACTGTGGTGTCTAACTGGATACTTACAGACACTTTACAGTTAATCCAAAATACTGCAGCAAGAGTACTTTCAGGGACTAGAAAGAACCATCATACTTCTCCTGTATCATCTTCACTTTATTGGCTCCTTTAAAATGCAGAATTAAATTTGAAACTCCTCTCCTCACATACTAGATTTAGGCTGCTGGAGAATTTCATGTGATGTGAACTTTTATTCTTTTGTCACCACTTTTCGCTCCCTGTCCCTGCTGTAAGTACTACATCTTTTGTTTTTTCTCTCATTGTCCTCGTCTCTTTATGTCGCCCTTTCTTCTCCCCCCACCATTCCAGTAAAATAATGAATTCTTCCTTCCCAAGTCTTGCTCGCTGCTCATCATCTGATTGTTGTTCTGAAGCCATCCATCCATCACTAATTTTCCATCTAAGGCAGGATGGATCCATGATTCAGGCTGGTAGGGTCTACTGATGTTTTCTCAGCCTACTTTGGGTCCCATCATTTAAACACCAAAGCCTACTATTGTTGGGGACCACAGCCGACCATTTTCTACTGACTGCTTCCAGCAGGTTAATGTACTCAATGTTAAATCTGCAAATCTGCAGCAGTTGTGTTAGGTGATACTATATGGCCACAATTTCTGAAGAATGTTTGCCGCACCTTAGTATTTTTTAAACAAGGTGAATTATCTTTAAAATTTCACATAGGTTTCAATCAGATTCTGAAAAATCAGCAATGTTGGAATTTTCTTTTGATTCTGACATGTAATCAATATTATATTCTTTTAAAAGTTAACATAAAATGTAGTCTTTGTGACAGTGATAGAAACAGTCATAATTCTGACAGTTATATCTTTATTATCTCCTGTTCAGTGAGGACACTCTATCACACTGACAGTAAAAACAGGCTCATTGTGTCTGTGTAGGTTCTCAGTCATCCAGGTTATGGCAGTTTAAGGAGCTTGGAAAGAAGACGACCAGATTTCTTTACGTTAGTGAAACACATAAAAAAAAAATCTGACACATTAAAATTTTAAACTGATGTTGGCATTAAATTAAAAGTCACATAAAGTAAAAAGGAGTTCATTCTAGCTTACTGTCTCATGAAATCTGTGCAAAAATATTTTTGTGGAACCTGCTCCCAGTTTAGATTGAGGAGACAGACACCCTCTCTACTTTTAAGATTAGCAGTTTAAGGATCTTGGAAAGAAGGCGACCAGATTTCTTTAAGTGGGTGAGCAAAGAAAGAAGAGCTATTGGCAGGACTTACCTATACACTGT